TCCCCAGGTTCCTTGGGCCCTCCCCAGAATCCAGAAACTAAAAGGAAGATTCCTGTGTCCAGCTTTTCACCCCATCTTCCCACATCCCTTCAGTGTCACATTCGCTTCCATCCGTCCCCTGAATCCTTCCTCATCTTCCCCATGACTGTACGGATCACCACACTGCCCTATCCACTCCCCATATTCTACCACGCTGCCCCATGTAACTCTGACCACTCTCCCCACGCCTGATCCCACCCGACCTCCCTCTAATGCCCCTTCCGCTTTCCCATGCAGCTGTCTGCCTGTCCACAATCCCTCACACCTCCCAGCCCTCATTCATACCCTACGCCCTTTCCACCCCACTGCTCTCCCATGCCCTCATCTGTCCCCACACCAACCTCACCCCACCCCTCCACTCTCCCTGCCTATCTACACCCACTGCCCACAGCACCAATTTCCCCCCAATGCCCCTGTCTACTGTCTGCCCCCCAACACTACCACCCACCCACCCACCTGCACACACTCCTTTTGGCCTCCACATGCCCCCATTTATCCCCATGTGCCCCATACCTTGCCTCTGGTCGTAGGCTTCTTGTGAGATGCTGTATTTCTCCACCTTGGACACATCCTCATACTCCCCAAGGCAGGCACCACTGTGGTCAATGACCTGTAGTGACAGGAGGGGTCAGAGGTGATCAGGGTCTGGTCAGGGAGGCTTGGGGTATTGGGGGGGGGGTTCAGTTGCACTTGGGAGCATTCCATAGACTTAAAACTCTCCCATATAGGAAAAACTATATTCTACCCTCACTCTATCCCAGCCTTCTCTTATCTCCTGAGCCCAGCAGAAAGGATGAGAGCAGGTATCTACACTAGTCATCTCCCTTTTCTCACCCCTATCCAAACCCTGAAAGCTGGATCTGCCCCACACGCTGGCATCAACATCACTGATGGCTCTCAAGTCATAAGAACCAAAGGATGGAGCTCAAGTCTTGCTCATGAACCCTCTAGGCAACACATCTGTCCTCTGTGGGCCTCTGAGATCCTCCTAAGCTGGCCTCAACTTCTAAACCCTGGAACATCTCTTCCTGTACCACCCTCAATGTTCATTAATTCATTGCTTGCTGAGCTCTTCCAAGGTGCCCAGTTGGGCCCTGTGCTGGGTGCTAGGGACACAGTACAAAAATAGATAAATGCCTGCTTGGAGAATGACCATAAACAAAGAGGCTTAAGGAGCCTGGGAAGGTAGTCAGGGAAGGCTTCCAAAAGGAGGGGATGTCTGACTCAAGGCCTGAAGGATAAGAAGGAACAGGCACAAAGTCCTGGGTATAGATTATCTTTGGCCCTTTTGAGAAACATCAGGGAGGTGAGCATGGGTGGTGTGGAATAAACCAGGGACAGTGGAAGACACTACGAATCACTGTAGACTTTGCTTTTACCTAGAATAAGGTGCAGCCAGGGAGGCTCTGAGCCAGGATCACTCTGACGTGGCTCTGGTTCATAGGCTCCCTCTGGCTGTATGTGAAGAATAGACTGTGGGGGTGCGAATGGGGGCAGGAGAAGAGGCTCTGTGATGTCCAGGAGGGAGCGGATAGAGGCTGGGCCAGGGTGGGCAGTGGAGGGGGCGAAGAGTTTAGATTCTGGACAGGTTTTGTAGGTGGAGCCTACAAGGGTTTGCAGACAGACTGGATGTGGGTATGAGAGAAATAGAGGGGTCAGGAAACACTCTGAGGTGTTTGACCTGTTGGCCTGAACCACTGAGCTAACAAACCAAAAGAGAAATGGCTTTTACCTCTGGTCAAGGGTCAGTAAGAATTTCTACTTTCTGTATTAGGGATTTTGTAAGTTTGAGGTTGCTGTTATTTTAAGCAACATATACAGGTAATATTTATAAACAGAAAAAGGTTTAGAAAAACTAAAAATTTCCTAGAGACTCCACCTCTGGGAAACCTTCCTTGAATGGCCTCAGAAGTCAGAGGTCTATCTATACCTGAATCCATGTTTGAAAGCCTCCTGTTTGAGGATACCACCACCCATGCCTGGCCCACCAGCATCCCTAGGCTGAGGCTGCCCAGGGCAGCCCGGTCTCAGTGCTGTGGTCTATCCATATAACGCTCACCTACAGTCCTGACCCACTCTCACCCTACCACATCATCTGGACTATGGAAGTAGCCTCCTCCCTCATCTCCCTACTCTTTCTACCCTCCAGACTGTTCCCCACACAGAATCAGAGAGGGCCTGGGAATACTTCAGTCAGACAGGGGCTCTTCTGACTCAGAGTCCTCCCTTGGCTCCCACTTCCCTCTGCCATAGGAGTAGCTGCTCTTTAGTTCCTTGTACCCACAATGCTCCCTCCCAATCCAGTGTATTTTTAAAAAAAATTTTTTTATCGATTTCAGAGAGGAAGGGAAAAGAAGGAGAGATAGAAACATCAATGATAAGAGAGTCATTGATCGGCTGCCTCCTGCACGCCCCCTGCTGGGGATAGAACCCAAAACCCAGGGCATGTGCCCTGACCAGGAATCAAACCGAGGTCTCATGGATCGTAGGTTAACGCTCACCGCTGAGCCACACCGCCTGAGCCCATCTCAGAGTGTTTGCACATGCTGTACTCTTCTGCAGCACTCTTTTCCCTTCTCCAGTTAACTCTTCCTATTCAGGTCTCTGCTAAGGCAGCACCCCCTCTAGGAAGCCCTCAATGATGGGTCACCTCCATCAGTATAGGATCTCCAGCTCCTCGATCTCTTCCTACATGGTCTTCACCTTACTGACCCTTCACATTTGTTCCTGTGAATATTTCGTTGACATCTATCTCACACTGGACAGAGCTAAACAGAGACCTCAGATTTGGTTCACAGCTATACCCCTGGTGTAACACAGATGCTCAACGAACCGTTACTAAATAAATGAGATTAAAAAAAGAACTGGTTCTCTAGGCACACTGATCAGGAGTCATGCAGACTGAGGTTACAATTCTAGCTATACTTCATCCTTAAATTCCATCTTAAAGCTACATTTTCTCTTGTGCAAAATAGGGTTAATTACACTATCTTGCAAATTTTTTTTCAATCCTTAGCCAAGGATTTTTTTTTTCATTGCTCTTCAGAGAGAGTGGAAGGGAGAGAGAGAAAAAAACATTGATGCAAGACGCACACACTGATTGGTTGCCTCCCACACACACCCCAATGGGGCCTGCAACCGAGGTATACACCCTTGGCCAGAATCGAACCTGGGACCCTTCAGTCCACGGGCCAACACTCTAACCACTGGGACAAAGTGGCTAGGGCCCAAGTCTTATTTTATAGACTCAACTCATCATCCAACGATTCACTGAGCATCCTTTCTGTGCCAGGCATTGTTCTAGGTGCTAAGGGAAAATGCACAGTATGTCACCGGACGATAAGAGCTAAGGACAAAAATCAAATAAATCGAAAAAGGAGGAGGTTTAAGTTTTACACTGAAGCCAATGAGGGCTTCACACTCAAAAGTTGACATTTAACCCGTCTGGGCATGGCTCAGCGGTTGAGCGTCGACCTAGGATCCAGGCGATTGGGGTTCGATTCCCGGTTAGGGAACATGCCCGGGTTGTGGGCTCGATCAATGACTCTCTCATCATTGATGTTTCTATCTCTCCCTCCCTCTCCTTTCTTCTCTCTGAAATCAATAAAGATATATTAAAAAAAAAAAAAAAGTTGACATTTAAGTAATGACTGGACAGAATGACTGAGCCATGTGAGCACAGAAAAAGAACCGTTCAGGCATAGGATGTAGCACACGCAAAGGCCCCGAGGTAACCTCACCTGGGATGCTGAGATGTCTGAGGAATATGGCAGGGGGGAGGAGGGGTAGTGAGGACCGAGAACATGATGTGAGCTGATGCATTCCGGGGGGTGCTTTGTGTTCCAGCTTCTCCCAACACATCTCATCTTTCACCCTGATCCACCTCAAACTCTAGGCCTCTGTACACTCTGCTTCCTCCAGCTGGCATGCCCTTCCCCCCTGTTCTCCTAAGTCACCCTTTAGGTCTCAGCTTAGGCTTTAGAGAGCCCCTTCCGATAATCCCAGGTGGAGTCAGGCACTTCTTCAGGGTGTAGCAGTCCCCTGGGCTTGCCCCAGCTCAAACCACTCTGGCTGTCACTGGTGATGGGTCAGTCTTTCTCATACTGGAATAGAGGCTCCATGTGGGCCTATGTTGGTTATCACACAGGGCAAAGTATGGCAAGCATCTGTTAAACAAGTGAACGGAGAGTAGGGAGGTAGGGAGGTCTCACATGGATGCGGCAGCCGTCATCTACGGGGTATGAGCCCAGTAGCGCATCCTCCTGATCCATCTTGCCGTAGAACTGCTCGTCGGCTCCATACAGCTCAAGTTCCATGCAAGACGCAGGGCTGCCCACCACCAGCTCTAGTTTACACTGCGAAGAGTAGAGGATGGGGAGAGGTGGAGAGGAAGGCCGTCAGTGCCCCCACCCTCTGCCCTGACTCTCCGCCCCTTGCATCAATAACCATCACCCCATCCTTGCTCCTCCAAGAAACCCATAATTTTTGGACCCAACTGGTTATCCCTGGCCATGCCCCCTCTGCTCTTGCCCCCGCCCTGTGAAACCCTGATTTCCCCAGGCCCTGCCCCCTTCTCTGGAACCTCCGGTTCCCTGTGGCCCCGCCCTGCTGAGGCCCCGTCCCCAATCTCTGCAACCTCTGCTTATTTCTGGCCCCTCCCTGCGATCGGTAGCCCCTCTATTTCTCCTTTGCCCCACCCCTCCCGACCCCGCCCCACGGCCACACCTTGAATTCAGCTATCGTGAGGCTACGACTGTACCGCTTCTCGGAGCGAAAGCTGTTGAGAGAACTGCTGATGAAAACGGTCACTGTGGGCGCGGATAACCCCGTCACCTCCATCTTGCCGCGCACCGAGCCGGTGTGCAGCCCAGTCAGCCGCCTCACACCGGCTCCGCAGCTGCCGCCGCCACCGCCTCTGGGATATCAGCCCCGCCCCCTGCTCCCAACCTGGCCAATCCGCGCTCTCCTGCAGGGAAGGTCCACCAATCACCGCCGTCCCCTCACCCCCGGAAGCGCTCCCCTATTCTTAGTTAGGCCCAGCCAATCCTGAGAGGCCTAACTTGGGGCAGTTCTTCCAATAGCAGCCCGGGAAATGGGCCGGACGGGCGAGGGCTGAAGCCCAGAAGAGGGACTGGCAGGAGTTAGCCCCGCCATGAAGGTAAGCTCGCGCATGTGCACTGGCCTTCGGCCCCTGCTGAGAGCTTGGCTTCTTCAGTTACGCTCAGTGCTTTTCCAGGTAGTGACGCGTCCTATTCCCGGCTCGCGTACCGTCCGATTCTGTAAACTGGGAAAACGAGGCCCACAGGTCGAAGCAATTACTTTAGGATATCAAAAGGTTGAAGCAAGTAATTAATCAAATCTCAGCTCAGAGAACCGAGCACAAAGCCGCTAGCAGCCACTACTTGTGTGCAGCTCCGCCCCTCTTTAGGCGAAGCAGCGAGGCCTGACCCTTCCCGCGACCCGTCGTGGGGCGGGGCAAGCGCGGAAGGCTTGGCGGGCAGTGCTGCGCTATGGAACCAGACGGGACCTACGAGCCGGGCTTCGTGGGTATTCGATTCTGCCAGGAATGGTGAGGCCGGGGCAACAGGTGTGGAAGGGAAGCCAGTAATGGCCCCAGGACTGAGCTCTGACCTCCCCTGCCCACAGTAACAACATGCTTTATCCCAAGGAGGACAAGGAGAACCGCATTCTGCTCTACGCGGTGAGCGCGAACCCGCGGGTGCCCCGGTGTTCCCCACGGGTCAGCCCGTTCCCATCGTGACCCCTCCTCCCTGTTCGGCCCCAGCTGGTTCTGGTCTCTTCCCTCTCGAAATGAACCCGGCTTCCCCGTCTTTCCCAACCCCGAAGTGATTCTCGATACACCCCCTTACCCCATCCTCGAGACCCCATCCCCTAACCATCCTCTCGGGGAAAGACCCTGCCCGCCCAGTCCTGTCGGGGATCTCTCCCTGACCCCCTTCCTGCCCCACGTCCTCCCGCAGTGCCGGAATTGTGATTACCAGCAGGAAGCCGACAACAGCTGCATCTACGTCAACAAAATCACGCACGAAGTGGAGTGAGTGCAGGACTGGAGTTTAGGGACGGGGTTGTTGGGGCCCCTGTCAGAGCATAATTATTCCTCCTCCCCTCACTCAGCGAACTGACCCAGATCATCGCTGACGTGTCCCAGGACCCCACGCTGCCGCGGACCGAGGACCACCCGTGCCAAAAGTGAGCCCGCGGCTGTATTAGGGAGGGAGAGGGGCTCGTCCCCCCGGGTGGAGAGGGGAGGCGGCTGGAGGGAAGGGTAAGGTAGGCTCTGAGTGGCTGACTGTCCCCTCAGGTGTGGCCACAAGGAGGCGGTGTTTTTCCAGTCGCACAGCGCCCGAGCCGAGGTGAGTGGCCTGAAGAAGGCTTTCTGGATAGCCTGTGTTTGGTCCTTCCTGGGAGCGGGGATACCAATATTGAGGGGAGCCTGCCCTTCCCGGTGTCCTGAGCTGGGCCCTGACCAATGGGGAAGGCCCCATGTTTTTGGGAGTGAGGCTTTGCTGGATGGAGGTTCCTTGTGCCCTCCCCGGGGTCCAGACCCTTCCTAACCGCGTATCCTTTCTGCCAGGACGCCATGCGCTTGTACTACGTGTGTACGGCCCCTCACTGCGGCCACCGCTGGACCGAGTGAACCCCCCCTCTCCACGTGTAATAAATGCTCTGTTCTGTGTGTGCACGTCCTGTGTTTATTTGCCTCTCATGGGTTGGAGGCGGGATTCAGAGTCTCAAGCAGCGCGGTGCAGGGCACAATGCTGTGCGTAAGCGTCGGGCCTCGAGCTGGTGAAGCCACAGTCCTCGCACACATGCAACTTCTCACGGTGCTCACGGTAAGCGTAGCTGGCCGGCTGCCCGTGCACCTTGGCAAGATGCGTTTCAAGCGAGCAGCGCTGTGTAAATGCTTTCCCGCAAGCTCTGCAGTGGAATGGGCGGATCCCTGGGCAGATAGGTCGAGGGGGAGAGGACAGACAGGGCAATGACCTCCAGACCAAAGCCAACCCACCTTGCCCTCTGAGCATTCCCCCATTCCTACTCCAAGTTCTGCAGACTCCACCTACATCCCACCATCTGCAGCCTCAGTGCAAACATGGGCCAGACACCTGTGTCCAGGATGTTCCTTCCCCTGGAGCCAGGAGTGTGGAGGGAGGCTTTCCCTTGCACCCGTCTATCTGGGACCTGAATCCTGTAACCAGTACCTGTCTTTACTCTATACCCCTCAGCAGGCCCCTACCCCAGCACCACCTTACACCCACTTGCTTAAGTATGCAGTGCTCCAAGCTGAGTCTCAGCTCCACAAACACAAAAAATTAAAATTCTACACCCAGGGGACCTCCCTCCATTTTGTTCCATCCCCACCCAGGACCCAGCACCCCTCCATGTCCCTGCTGCAGCTCACCAGTGTGAGTCCTCATATGGCGCTTGAGGTCAAAGGCGTCGTGGAAGCCCTTGCCACAGCAGTGGCACACGTGGCGGCGTGCAGGGCTGTGGCACTTGAGGTGCCTTGTCAGCATGCGCTGCAACGGGAAGGCCTTGGGGCAGAACGGGCAGCCAAGCATCCCAGGGTCCCTGGGAGTGGTGACCAAAGTCCCCTGCCTGGGCTGTGGGAGGGACATGGGAGTTACACACACACACACACACACACACACACACACACACACACGGAAGCAAATGGAGAGCCTAGAACTTGGAACCAGGAGGTCTGGGAAGACAAGAGACTGTGTGTGTAAATGCCATGCTTTCTCCAAGGTCCTCCCTGATCAAGCCCCACTGCCCTTTGTTTCTTCAAAGTACATACTATCTTCCAACACATATATTTTTTCTAATTTTATTGCCTACCTACAGCTGCCACCAGATCATAAACTCCAGGAAGGATGGAATTTTTGTCACTCCTGCTAAATACCTGTTGCTTAGAATGGTTCCTGGTTTTCAATAAATACTGAAATAACCTTGAACACAGTTACATTTGGCCAATGCTGTCCTTCCAGTGCATACACAGAATATCCCTTCTGAAAGGCCCCAATCTCATCCCCATCCCCATCCTGCTCCTGTCACTTTGGTCCTCTAACACAAAGCAAATCACCATCGACTGGTGGCTTGAATTCTGTTCTGCCCCATGGGACAGAGATCCCTAAGGGTAGGAGCTGTGGCTGCCCACCTGGGGAAATTGTGCTGGGATGAAGGCTAACAGCTCGCTACTAAGAAAGGAAAGGCTTTCCCAGCAGAGAGAACAATGGGTGGGAAGGTCCTGAGGCTGGAGGGACATGGGCAGTGGGCTTGGGGAGTAAGGGGCAGTCAGGTTCTTTTGAGGCTGAGAGTGGGCAGGGGTGAAACTGAGCAGGGTCTTGGGGACCATCTACAGACTCACCGCTGCCCAAGAGTCCCCAAGGCCAGAAGATTGGTGTGCTGGTGGCCCCTCCAGGCTACTGCAATCTGAGAAGAGAAGCCAGACGGTGATGCTTTGTGTCTTCACTGCCCCTCAACTCCAGGCCTAGTGAGGGGCCCACCTGGGACATAGGCATCTCCCCGGAGCTGGTCAGGCAGGTGGCCCCAATTGGGTGGTTGCAGACGCCTACTCCTGACCAGGAAGGCACGGGGCATCACCTCTGGGAATGGTAAGATGGTTACACACACACACACAATGGGGCTGCCTCTGCCTGCTGTCAGACTTCAGTTGAGGATGACCATCCCAGGTGGAAAGGGAGGGGGCAGCCATGAAGGAGCCTCCATTCTCTCAATGCAAATTTCATGACGGGCCAGGGAGCAGACTTAGCTGGCTCCAGTTACCTTGGGGCCCGCCATTCCTCCCCCTTCCATGACAGATTCCTGAGAGCAGTCTCCAGCCTCCAGAGGCAGACAAGCTCTAGGACCCACAAAGAGGTCAAGCAAGGGCATGACTGCGGCCTAGGCAGCTCTTGGGGTGGGGAGAGGAAACAGACCCCAGAGATTTGGGGTGTCTTCCCATATTACCAACAGGGCCAAGGACCTAAGGGTCTGTTTGCCAGGCAAATCAGTCACTACCGGCTGTTTCAACAGCCTGCTTGGTTATTCAAATCACAGCAACTGTCTGAGGACTCAGGGGAGGGGGTGACTGTGATTGCCTGTTCCAGAGGATGGAGGGACAGCAGGTTCTAATAAGTAAGGACAGTGAGGATCCAGGCTGTGCATCTTCAAGCAGGAGCTCCACCTCTCTGATCTTTAGATGCCCAGAGAGATGTTCAGCCGGAAGCACACTGTTCAGGTGTAGCAGGCATTAAAACACTGGTTTGTTAATAGTTCAGCTCCTAGTGACTGCCTGGAACACCTCTCCCACTCTCCCACACTCCAGAAACAGCCAGGGGCTCCGAGGACCTTACCTCAGCACTCTGGCCAGGCTGTGTTCTAGACTGGTCATTGGCCTCTTAACCAAGGGCTGAGGATTTTGAACATTCCTCATGCAGTTACTTTCTCTCATTTATTCACCCAATAATTCTCTGAACTCCAATTATAGACCAGGTCTAACTCAGCACTGAAAACAAACACATAGCTTAGTTCTTGGGGGAGACACACCAATGACTGCCCAGAATGACCAAGGCATGATGGGGGAGGCACAGGCAGAGTGATCCAAACTGATGGGGAGAATCCGGAGGCGGAGAGGGTGAGCTCCTGGTCCAGCCTGAGGGTTGAGGGATGACTTCCTGGGCATAAGCCCTGAAGGAAGAAGAGGGTTAGGGTGAAAGGAGAGTGTTCCCAGCAGAGGGAGCAGTCCATACAAAGGCTTGGTGGTGAAAGAAGCAATATTTATTCATTTCTTCACACTCCCTAGAGTGAGTCCTGCTGATTCATTTCGGGGAGCAAGGGAGGCAGCGCTGAGAGTCTGCTAGCCCAGACCTTTGCCACTGTATCTCTGCAGGATCTGGGCCTAATGAGTCTCCCTATCTCTGGATTGTGCTGAAGAGCCATGCAGATGTGGGGAGAATGCTGAGCATGGGATCTGGCATGGGCTGACAATATAAACAGAGGAAGCAGGAAGTCTTGAGGGGTGGGTGGCTAGGCAAGCATCTGAGTTTCAATTGACCAATCTGTAAAATGGGTTTTCATTGTTGACACTATTACAGATGCCCCCTATTTCCACCTCCCTTTGCCCACCTCCACCCAGCCCCTGCACACACACACAAACACACACACACACACACACACCATCACTACACTGTTGCTGGTGTCCATGGGCCATGCATACATGTTATTTGGCTAATCTCGTCACCGTTTTTTATTTGGTGCCCCTCTCCCCCGCCCTGAGATCTGTCAGTCTGTTCTATGTATCCGTGCCTCTGGTTCTACTTTGTTCTTCATTTTGTTCATTAGATTCCACATATAAGTGAGATCACATGGTATTTGTTTTCCTCTGGCTTAGTTCGCTTAGGATAATAATCTCTAGGTCCATCCCTACTGTCACAAAGGCCAGGAGTTCCTTCTGTTTCACAGCTGTATAGTATCCCACCGGGGGTTCTAAGTGTCGCCGTCTCACAGTTGTCGGGTTTCATGCACAGGGCAGCCCAGTGTCTAGGCTGCACGGTGTGGAGTGCAGGGGCCAGGCTGCCCTGAAGAATGGGCTGGTGAACGGGAGCCGTTCTTTTTCTGCCTCGGTGCCCAGTTCTCCAAATTGATTCCTGTGTTGTTGCTGAAAACAATCAGGGGAGAAATCTGGGGTTGGGTGTCCTTATTTGCCCCCAGACTCCCTTTCTGCTGCCTGCCCTGTGTGGTCAGCATCATCTGGGCTCCTGTGCCCTCTGGCTTCCAGTAGGGTTTGAACAATGGGGAGCCCTGTAGATGCGGGGATTCCAATTCCCTCCCTGTGAGGTTGCCAGGGACACAGGTCCCCTCAGGACAGCCCTCTCTCCAGGATTTGCTCTCTTGGGTTTCACTTTGCTCCCTTGTGCCTTGTGGTCTAGGGTGGGGGTGTGACAGCTCTCCTCTGGTACCAGGTCTGAGGTGCTGTGGTTTCAGTCTTCCCTGCCCACTCCTTTGCAAATGATTCCTTCACGACACTGAAATATCCCATGTGAACATGCTGCCCTCTTCCCGCTGAGATCCTGTTGTTCCATAAACTGCCTGCACACACATTCATCGGCAGTGGTTTCTTAACCAGCTCTGTTGTCCAATAGAAAGTTTGGTCCTTCTAGGGCTGAAGAGCTTGGCATTAGAAAGTAGAGGGTTGCAGACGTCTGGATTCTTTTGAACTACCAGCCCACCTCCTTTTGCGCTGAGAACCCAATTTTAAGCAGCATGCCCAGCACAGAAGAGATGGTTGGTCCATGCAAATCAAATCAACCTCCATTCCCATTGCCTGTGGCTGCTCTGAAGGAGGAGTCTAGGAAGGCTTTGCAATTCCCCCCCCCCCACTACCCTGGTGGCTGCCCTGCTTTGTGCCTTTGCTACTGGCTGGGTAGGGGTGTGCTGCTGAGTACATGGTAGACACGTTGCAATTGTGAGGGCCTAAGCTGGAGGGTGAAACTCAGGTTCACAGAGAGTGACAGAGCAGAAACATAATCAAGAGCAACAAATGTCCCTACACATGCGCCCCTCTAAGTCCGGTGTTTGCTAATTGGGAGTTGAAGGCTTAACTATAATACAGGGTGGGAGAAAGGATAATTCTCACGAGGGACGCAGCCTCAAGTTGGTCTTCTGGGTGTCCAGGAGCTGGATGCCAAACCTTGCCTCAGGGATCTTAGGTGACTGCGGCCAAGCTAGGCAGGAGCAAGAATGGGTCCTCCTGTCTTCCTGGGGTGGCCTGTGGGCCTGGCAGAGGTGCAGTTCAACTACAAGCTCTGGACCACCTGGGCTCATTAAGGCAGGAAGAGGGAGCTTTGAAAACAGATAAGACTGGGCATGTCCCCAAACACCAATATTGGGGACTTTATTGGGGGGGGGCGGATTGTGTTGTGAATGTTTCTTGGATTTAAACGTCATGAAGCAACAAGGCCCTGCCTGGCACTCTCCCACTGCCTCTCTCCCCTCGCTCACTCTATTCCAGCTGCCCTGGCTCTGTTACTAATCCTGAAGTGTACCTTTGACCCTCCCATGGGGCCTTTGCACCGGTTGTTTGGTCTGCCTGGATACTTTCCTGAGGTGTCCACATGGCCTGTGCCCTCTATCAAGCCTCAGCTCAAATGTCACCTCAGAAAGGCCTTTCCTGACACTTCAACCAGCACAGTGAATTCCCTCAGTGACTCTAGTTATTTTAATTCTTGTGAGTTTTGCTCTCTAGAAGGTGAATGCCGCAGGGGCAGATGCTTTGTTTGTTCTGTTCTTCACTCTACCCGTGACATATAGAACAGTGACAGGCACCTGGGCGCCAGCAGGACTTTTTTTTTTAAAACTGCATGACTGGTTCTGATGTGTGTCAATGTTTATGGAGGCAGCAGTGGGCCATGTCCTCACGTTGAAGGATCCGGCTCTGCCACCAGGCAAGCCTAAGTTAGAGTCTCAGCTCTACGGGACCCTGGGCAAGACACTGGATCTCTCTGAGCCTGTTTCTGGTGGGCCATGACCATCAAACAGAGCAGGGAGGAACTCAAGCAAGTGGGGGTTCAGGCCACAACAGCACACATGGTAGGACTGTGCTTTAGGAGAGGGCTTACCCCTGCTGGCTTTCTTTTTACACACTTGGGACAGTGGGGGCTTTTGTGGTCACAAGAGTGGCCCTCTCAGCAGACATGCACGTGGCTAGATGCTTGTTGCCTGGGAAAGCTGGTATCAGTGCGGGGAGCTCATGGTATGTCGAAGCTGGACACAGTCCTCCTGCTGGGGAATTACTGTCCCAGCTGCTAGGTGGCCTGGGCACGCTGCCAGATTGTCCAGTGGATAAGCCTGTTTGTCTCTCCTCAACTTCCCCTGCTGCAGATGGGGACAGAAGCTTGGCCCAGGGGCCAGTGGTGTGGTAGTACATGCACTGATATTCAGGGTCAGGCACATGGTGGTTGCAGCAGCTCCAGTGGGTTCTTGGGCATCAGTATGGGGTAGGACAGAAGGACCGGCCGGTCCCTCTCTGGGGTACAGCTGGGACCCACTGGGCAAGGACCACATGTGATTCCTTAGCAGCTCAGTGGGCCGGGGATAATAAGCAACAAAGGAACCTGGTACAGGGATCATTATCACTGCAGTTCTAAAACTTCTTGGGAATGTTGGTCTCATGTTGCCATTGACAGATTCTGAGAACTGGGCCTACCATTGGGGCTCATGAGAGTTCTCTGGGCTGGCCCACCAGAGCACCCCCTTCCACCCTCCCTCCCTGCATCCACCTGAAGGGGGCTTTGTGGATGTGCCAGGATAGGCACCAGGAACCATTCCTCCAAGTTGTCAGTTTATTTGCTTAAAATACCTATTTCATCAGAAAATAGCAGGGCTGCTGGCCCTCAGTCCCCCTGTGCCTTCCTCCGCACGGCCTGCACCAGCAGCTCCGAGTAGTGTTCCAGCAGGGCACGTAAATCTGGGCTGGCCAGGGGGCATAAGGTAGGTGGGGAGGCGGGACCTGAGCTGGGCAGGGCCTGGGTGGGGGCTACATCACTCCCAACCAGCCAGTCATTGGCCTTTAACTGGCTGTGGATCCAAAGGAAGGTCGAGGCCAGCTCAGTCCGTGCCTGCCGCTGTGTGGTACTCAACTGGCCACTGGAGACCATCTGCAAGGGGTGCCAACCTTGTTACGAACCACCCAGACCAGAAAGTCCCAAGGCACCCCACCAGAAAGTCCCAAGGCACCCCCTCAGCCCTCCCCTGACCTTAGGGCTTGGCTCACCAGGTGGTAAAGGTCCAGGGCTTCTTGGAAGGCAGTCTGAAGTTTGTGCACGATGGTCCCCACACTGCTCAGGTCAAGGGGAGCTGGGGACAGGACTCTGGCTGGCACCCCAGGCTCTCCCCAGTGTCCAGGGCTGTCCCGGACCACACTGAGCACGTCTAGGGGTAAAGGGGAGGGAATAAGAAAGATACCTCTACTTTATAGCTGGTCTAAGAGAGGTCAGGGTGGCTGGGCTGATCCCAACCGTTGTCCCTCTGCCTGGAATACTTCCCTCAGCTCCCCAGGCTCCCTTTCCTCCCCTCCTGCAGGTCTCAGCTCAAATACCACCTTCTCTCCATAGCCTTTTCTCACCATCCTGTTTAGAACTGTAACAACTGCCCCCACTTCTCATTCCCTAGACCTTTTCTTTTATTTCTCTCCTTAGCACATATCACCTCCTGATACACTTAACACTTTCCTCAGAATTTAGTTTGGGCGTCTTCCCCAATTAAGGTGTCAATTCTGTCTGTTGTTTACCACCACATCCCAACCATGTCCTCAGGGGATAGAACAAAAAGCCCAACACAAACAAAGTGCTCACTAAATAGTTCAGTAAAGAACAAATGAATGGCACAGCCTCTGTGGCCAGGTCAAGTGCCTACCTTTGGAGCTGTTACATGGGATGAGCTTAGGAGACAACCCCTTATCCCAAGGGTGATACTCACCAGGTGTGAGCTCCAGGAAGGAGGTGATGCTGCCAGGTATGGCCTCTGGAAGTGGGGGGCTGTTGGGATGGGCTGGGGTTTTGAGGGGCTCAGGGGCCAGGAGAAAGGTAGAGTTGTGGAGCCTCAGGGAGCTCACATCTACGGGGCTGGGAGCCAGGAAGCTAGCTGTTGTGACTGTGACATCGGGCCGGGTGGCCACAGGTTCCTGGGACCAGACACAAGTAGTGGGTGGCTCCAGTGGGGGTGGGGACAGTAAGAGCCTGTCACAGACACTTGACAGGGTCTGTTTGAGGCTGGCCCGGGCTTCATGGTTGTCCCGGGAGGGCAGGGCAGGCTCTTGGCCCTCGCTGTCAAAACTGGGCGCTGCGGAGGTAGTGATGGCCTGAAGCTCCTGGTCCAGGGAGGCCAGCTTCCCCATGGATGAGGGCCTGCAGAGGGGTCTGGTCAACTCAGCCAGGACAGAATCCTCACTTTCCTCAAGGGAGCTGCTGCGTGACATCTTGGCACGCGGGCTGGCAGTGGCCTCTATGTAGGAGCAGGGAGAGGGAGTATGGAGGTCTGGAGTGGGCAGGGCTATGGGTGTCAGAGGCTTCCTGTCTGTGGGCAGCACGGAGGAGGAGGTGACAAGGAAAGCTAGGCCTGTGAGGCAGGGGGCCATAAAGAAAGCAGCTGGTTCACTCTAACAACCAAGTGGCAGAACTGATAGACAGGGCCCACCCCAGGATGGCTGCAGGGTCTGAGTGGACCCTGCCCATCCCCACCCATGGTTCAGCTGGGCACCCAGGGTCATTTGCTGAGAAGCCCAGGGCTATTTACCAGGGATGGTGACACTCACTTAGTGGGCACCAGGCCTCCAGGGTGTCAAGGGACTCCTTGGCTTTTCCCCCAGAGAGGACCTGCAAGCATAGCCATGAGGTGAGGAAAAGGCCTCCCAGCTCCTAGCCCTACGTCCTGAGAAGGTGGCCCAAGTACTCACATTGGTCCTGCCTGGGAAGGCGTAGCCAGTACCTGCTCTCAGGGGCTCTGCTCTGGGCTGGTTCCCCCCTAGGCCTATGAGTTTGACCTCCGGGGGCTTCACAAGGTGCAGGGGCCGGGAAAGGAAGGTGTGGTTGGGCCTGCGGGGAGGAAACCAGGCAGCTATGTCTGCCCTGTGGGTGCCTGAGAGGACACAGCCCCACCCTGGGGGAATACAGGAAGCTGGAAGGTTCCCTGGTTCACCAGTTCCTACCTGGATGTCTTCTGGAGACGGGAGAGGAACTGGGCTGAGATACTCAGCCTGGGGTTAAAAAAGTCCTCATCTGCAGAGGCCGTCACCTCTCTCAGCGATCTGTGAAAGAGCTCTAGGGGAAGATGCCAAGGGAGACCTCAGTCCCTGCGGCCAGCCAGCCCTAGGTCCAGCAGACCCACAGAGCAGCAGGCAGATCCTTAGAAACCCTCCCCAACAGACAACACAGAGCAACTGGAGCAGGAGGAGGAAACTGCAGCTCAGTCCTTAAGATAAAGCATACGCCCTCCCACCACCCTCAGCAGCCCTGCTAGGGAAAGGCTAACCCAGAGGTGCCCACGCTGAGCCGAGCACTGGATGGCCCACCCAGGCCCAGGTAGGGCTGACAGGGGCAGGGCCCTACCCTCAGGGTGGGCGTCAGTAAGCGTCTCAAAGTGGTGGCGGAGAAACTTCTCTTGCTCAGGGGTCTGGGGCAGGGAGCCATTGGATATGCCTGCCACCTCAGGCCGAGACAACTCCTCTGCAGTTCCTGGGCATTCTGTGGAGGCAAAGCGGGCAGGCAGAAGAGAACCTTCAACACTACTGGTTATGGCAGACATCCTGACAAAGACATCAAGCAGTTAACAATGGAGAAAGCTGGGCGAGCCCAGCGTACACTGTTGCCAGCAGGCTGAGGAGGAAAGCCTAATGGCTCTGTCTCCCAGGTGAGGCTCTGTGGGCACCAAGTGTAGGGCTGATGTGGGTCCAGTGTGTATGTATCATGACCATCCCCTAAGCCAGGCCCATGTACAGCCCTTCCTCGAGTCTGGTCTGTTTACCTGGTATGGGGGTCATTGTCATGTCAAACCGAGGATCTGAGTCCAGCTGTGGAGGGGAGGAATGGATGGTGGCGAAGGTGCACTCCAAGTAGGCCTCTGAATTCTCTGAATCTAAAGGAGCAGGGAGGGGAAAGTAGGGGGTCAGACGCCCAAAGTCAGGCCCTTTTTGGGTGAGTCAGGTAAGTGGCTCAGTTTCTTTGGACTTCAGTTTCCCCATCTGTAGAATGAGGATGATAATACCCGGCCCCTATTTTTATGGACCAACAAGGTTATACTTAGAGGAAGTGGCAGAGCTGGGCTGTCAACAGGCAGATGGGCTCCAGAATCCTTTGGTAACATCAAGGACCATGTCTGTCTTCTGCAACAGACTCTTAAGTTTTAGGAAGATTGGGTCAAGGTCATCATCAGTGCACAAAATGAGGCCTAGCAGGACAAATAGACTACGGCAGGGTCCTTGCCTGGTCCTCACTCACCCGCAAGTTGGCTCTGATCCTTTGAGCCCATGGAGGAGACCCTGAGATAGGAGTCACCTGGCTGGTCTCCAGACTCCCCCTCCACCTCTTCAGAGCCATACTTGCTGCAGTGCCAATAAGTAAGGGAATGATAACATGCTAGTTAGTAGACAGCTGGTCCCTACCCAGAACCCTGAGGCATTGGTACCCTGCTCCTCTTGGGCACACTATCTTGCCTCCCCTGCCTCCTGCAAAGGCTCCCTTCCCCCAGGAGTCCCCTGCACCTCCACCTAGAACTGTGGAAACAGGCTGCAGGGCTGGGCTCCTGCTCCATCTGGGCGATATTCCTTCCTCCCCAATCCCACAGGCCCACTGAGAGAGCAGTTCTTCCAGAGTGTGCCCATCAGCAGAGGCTTCCTCTTCAACTAAGGCTCCCTTTGGTGCAAAGGACACCCACCTGTCTGTCCCTGGAAGTGTCACCTCTGCCTCCAGGGAGCTGATGACCTCTCTGGCTTCAGAGGACTCCTTCTGTAAGGGCAGGAAGGAGGGATTCCTACAGCCATCTTCCTGGGGACTCTCTGACTGTGGGGTGAAGGGGCAGAGCCATCAGAGGCAGCTGTGGCAACCAGGGCCCTTGCAAGCTTCTAAGCATTACAGTAAAGAAGTTGGGGGTAACGGCAGCCCCACTGTCGGATGCTCACTGTACACCAGGGCGTGGGCCAAGCTTTTGTTCACCATGAGCTCACTCCATGCCCATTTGCACTATCATCAGCCCCTTTACAAATAAGGAATAGGTATGGCTCCAACTCTCTAAGCACCTATTCATATGAAGGTCAAAAACAGGCAAACCAGTCCACAGTGAGAGGTCAGAATGCTGGTTACCCTGGGTGGAAGTACTGACCGGGAGGGGCACAGGGGTCTCCCTGGAGGTAGAAAATGCTCTAAATTTTGACCTTGGTGCATATACATAGTTATATATACAGGTAACAATTCATTAAGCTATATACGTAAGATTTGAGCACATAACTGCATGTATATTATGCCACAATAAAAAAGAAAACATATAATAGGATAAAGAAGGACTTTATTTGGAAAATAATCAAATAAGAGCTAAAATTGCTCCAGCACCTCCAAGGGGACCCAGGCCCTGTTCTTAGCACCGGATTCCTGTAAAAGTTCTCTGAGAACTTTTTTTTTTTTTTAATCCTTACCTGAGAACAAGCTTAGAGAGAAGGGAGAGGAAAAAGAAAGAGAGAGACAGAGAGAAAACCCTGATGTGAGAGAGTAACATCAATCAGCTGCCTTCTGGATGCCCTCCGATTGGGGGTCAAACCCGCAACCCAGGTATGTGCCCTGACTAGGAATCAAACCGGCGACCTTTGTGCACAGGACGATGCCCAAGCAACCGAGCCACTCCGCCGGGCGCTGAGGGCTATTTTTTAATGACCATTTTAAGAAATCTTTTTGGTCACCTTTTAAAAAAAAGGTCTATATTTTTGAAAACTGAAGCCCAGAGAGGCAGCCCTTGTTCTAATTCACACAGCTGGGAAGAGGTAGGGCCGGGCTCCACTTGTTCAAATGCCCACCAACTCAGGCACAGGCCTGCTCTTGGGCCTAAGCTCTTAAGCCCCAAAGTGACCCACCTCCTAGATTCCTGGTCTGCCCGAGGAAGTCTCACTGTGCACCAGGCCTGGGGCTCACCCTCCTGCCCTCTACCATCTCAGGTAATCCTCTCCTGCCCCTGGAGTGGGACAGTCAACCCT